GGTTTGTCGCTACGGGATAGTTCACGCGAATAACACACCAAATTAGGCCTCTTGCGAAGTAGCCAGTAGCCAGAAGTAGCCTTGGTGAAAAATAAAACAAATAAATATTACTTGTTTTGCTATTTGCGCATGATGTTTATCACTATATAACCGATGGCTACCTTACGTTCTGACGAGTCAAGCATAAAATATTAAAGTCGGCTTTGTATACTAATTAAATTTGCCGAGTTCCATAAAATAGAATCTTGAAATTTAGAACAGTAATGACTCCGCTGATATTATTTTATTTTATTTACATTGCATTTTTTTTTGTAGTCAATAAATAATATAGACATAGCATAATTACGTTCAATTATGAATGTTGTGGGGTAACACACACGTAATGTGAATTTGAGTAGAGCACCGTAATGCAAAGACACACATTGCACCATTGTGTTTGCTTTTATATAATCAGACATAACTCGCGTTTATTTTAGATTGTTAAAGGCACTTGTGGCAAATTTTTAAAAAGTCTATCTGCACAGAGTTTACCTCGACAATTACTGGAAAAAAATCACATTTGATAACGAATACAATTACATGTACAGTAACAAAAAGTTAGCTCAATAATCAATTTGGTTTCCATTTTATCTCACGCGTGTAATGACTACAAACATATATATATATATATATATATATATATATTTGTCTAGACCTTAGTTACTCCAACGATGTGAACTGACATGAACGATACATCATTTATGTATGTAGTTTTAAATATACCGCCAAACTGAAAAGAAGGGTTGTTGCACTGTAGGTTGTCATGGAAACACCACTCTCATTGCAAAGATCTTCTGTACAGCATTCAAGACATCGCCATCCATCGTGTTCTAGATTACATTCGTAAGCTAATAACGCAATTCTCTCTCCAATACAATCACTGTAGGTCCAAAGATCAGTATTTTCAGTACTTCGGTAACATCCTTTTACAATGTACAGACCATCTGAAAAATCAAATAAATCCTAGAAAAATCAAGTTCAGCAAGTAATTGAAACCTTGTAGACTCTATGAGTTATCAAGTTTATGAAATATATTTTTTTTACTAAGAATAGTAAAGGCATTTCAGAAATATTGCTCTGGAGGATCAATTATTAAAACAAAAATGCCACTAGTCGGCCATTTTGAATTCGATGTGAAAAAAACAAAACAATATGAAGGCCATATAATTTTGAATATAAGTACTACGTTTGATTAAAATTACCTATACTCGACAAGACTCGGTTACGTAATGGCAGAAATGCCTTTGACCCATTTTCAACATTAAAATGGCGGCCATTCAACCATCATGAAACTAATAAATCCTGCTAGAATTAGGTTCACAAATGACCATTAAAATGTTGACCTGCTGACAAATTTGGCATTTTTATTTTCATCTAGTAAACACCTATAACTTTCCGATTAGTAATGGACCTCCTTTAAGGTAGAATGCAACTCATTAGAAACAAAATAATGTCAATTTCCTTATGTTCACATAATGTTATAGTTCATGCCAAGAAGACGAAGAAAGGAAAAGAAAACTATCAGATAATCGCTATGAGCCGGAGGAAGCATCAACAATTATTTAGCTGCATCAGATTTGTTTGTCATTCAAATTAATTTCATGTACATGTAAAGGACAACTATTCACCACTTAATTTTAGTGATTTTGCCGTTTCACTAAATTTTAAAATTGTGAATAAACATGGTGATCGCTTTGCATATTCAGTAGGTTTCAATATTATAACAAATTTAATAGCTGTCATTGAAATAAGTGAAAATGTACCACGTAATAATTGCCGCCTGCGCACGCGTGGGAATTGAGTCCTAAGCGACGATGACAACGCAAGCTAAACACGCAAAGGCTCATGGGTAGACGCTTATTTGTAAACAATGACACGCGAAGACCATCTGACGCATGCGCAAGTACCAACTCTCCCCGCTTTAAGCTCTATGCTATTTTTGAAGAGAGTTTCCATACTCTTTCTGAACGCATGATGCACGAGTTGTGGATCAAGGCTCCCATTACATTTCACATATCTATCATTTTTACCTCAGAATTTTACCATAGCAGTATACAACATCGCTTATACAAAATGAGTTTGGATAAGATTGATATTACTCACCAGCGTAATAAGTCAATGTAGCACAGGCTTCATAAGAACCATTGTTTGGAAGGTCATTGTCATCACAGGTATATGGATTCATACAGTCTTCATTATTATTGTCTATTATGTTAGTGCAGTAATAGCAGTCCAGGGCATGACCTGAAAAATAATACAGACTTTACTTTAGTTGTCCGATAAAGCTTTTAAAAGGTGGTGGTCTACGCGCCGCGTCCTGTTCGATATGGGGAAAAAATACCAATCTTTCACAGCCAAATGATCCGTTGGGGTAATATTTAGC